ATATATATATACATATATATATACATATATATATACATATATATGTATATACATATAGACAAGTATTGGGTCTAACATCACAACTAAACATTTATTAGAAGATCTTTGTTTTGTGTAAAGATCTGAATTAGTAAAGTAACTAAAGCGGTCACATGAACGTTATAAAAAGAGTACAAATACCTCAGCTTGGTACTTGAGAGCAGTGACGAATGGAACGAGGTTTGTGAGTTAAAGTGAAGGAGTTCCAGCGAGGCGTCTCTGAGCTCAGTCTGCTGGAGAAGTTCACCATCATCACGGAGAGTTTCTTAAATTGTGATTTATTATCTGCTGGAAACAAACTGTTGCCTCAAAGAAATGAGAAGAGCTTCACATCCAGGGGATGAAACTCATCAGTGCAGCATCACTATGAAGAGACGAGGCCACACGGAGAACCTCTTTATTACTGAAGTAGAACCGAACATTCACAATCCAACTGGTTCATTAACAACAGATCCGTTATGCAAACGGACTCTACGGCTCTGAGAAGCTGCTGTTGGCACGAAATACAGATTTATTTTTCATTTAATATTATTTTTTATTCTCAAGCGTGACGTTCGATTGTACACAAACATAATGTGCATTCACAACCAAAGCTCTGCCGTCATTTTGACCACACAGTACGTGTTGAACCTGGTTTAAAGGGATAGTTGTGTTGAGTTAGAACATCATCAACGCTTCAGTTTCACTGGTTTCATCAGTCTGGTGGTTATTGAAGAGATAACGAAACATCACAACTATCCGTTCAGCAGCAGTGATCAACAATCACCAACAAGGAACATGATAATAATAAATGAACTCGTGAGAACACTCAGCCTCATCAATATGCTGCAGATTCTTTGACGCAGTTTTAAAAAGACGTTTAAAACGTGGTAAAGTCTCATGTTTGTTGTTCAAACAATCGACGGTTCAGTGAAGAAGAATATCAATCTGTTCTTATAGAAAACATAACTTCATCCTGTGTTGAAGACATTGTAGCAGCTGACTATGAAACGATAGCTGCATAATAGCTTCAGTGAACCTGTAAGAAGTGAGGAGACCACGTTTTACCACAAAGTGTGTCCAGAGGACATTATGGCTCAAATCTGAGTGATTCATTCAACTAGAGATGTTTCTGTTCCTGGAAGTTTAGTAGGTCAGTGAACGCAACTGTGAGCTCAACAGTGAGGGGATAAACAAGGTTCTATCTATCTATCTATCTATCTATCTATCTATCTATCTATCAAAAACATGAAAGCTTCCATCGGAGGTAGAACATGATGAATAATTCTCCTGAAACAGTGTTTTCATCTGAATGATGTTAAATATTTATTCATCATCACAGTCCACGGTCTGTAAAAGTTAGAATATAAAGAGAAACTCGTCTTCTGTCGACGTGATCGTCGGAGAACGTTTACGACAGAATCCAGTTTAAAAAGAGAAACATTCCTCGTTGTCAGGACGACCATTCGTCACGGAGGTCCCGAAGGGTTAAAGTCTCCTCATCAGATTGTTGAGGGAGGACTGAAACACACACACACACACACACACACACACACACACACACACACACACTTATTTATTCATGTACACACACACACACACACACACACACACACACACTTATTTATTCATGTACACACGTACACACGTACACACACACACACACACACACACACACACACACACACACACACA